AACTGTGACCATAAACGACGCCATAAACTTAACCAGCAACTCTAAAAGTATCCTACTCTCTCTCTCTCATTTATTTTTTTTTTTGCAATAAGTATTAATATAAGATACATCCTCTTAACAAGTTTTTTAGGTATACAATATGGTATCATTAATGGACTATGCTGTACCATAGCGTATCTAGGACTGACTTACTCATCTCACATCAGTGAAACTATATACCCTTTTACCAACAAGCATTCTTAACATTCATGATAGTGGAAAAAACCTCTGCAGGTCACCTACAATTTCTTCTACCCAGTCTCTCCCCCAGCAAAGAGGTCCATCAGTGATCAAGACATCAGCCTTTTGTTCACACTTCTGTTCTCCTCCTAATGGCTATTTAATTGTTCTCATTAGGATGTACAGGGGAAAGGAGTAGCCATTAGCGTTCCAAATAATAGAAGAAACACGCCCACGGTTATCACTTTGCCAGGCTCGACAAACAGCTTCTGATGTGGTAGCAGCCCTTAAAGGCAGCAGTCAAACACTGCTAGAACTGAAGTGGACCCCAGGAACAACATACTCACGTACTGATGAGCACGGATGGCTGTAAGGATGCCACGTAGGTAAATACCGACCCGCACACACACAAGCATGTGTGTACTGGCATCCATTAAACACACAGGTAGCAAATGCAATCGCACACTCTCGTTTATTCACATAAGTATATGCACACATATGCTTACACATGCACACCCCTATTTAGGTGATTTCTATAACAGATACTTGGGGAGAACCAAATACAGGCTACAGTGAGGAATGAGGGGTGGACGAGACAGAAGGAACCCCTGACATTTTTATTCAAGTTATAAGGGAGTAAGCAAGAGAGCTGCTGTTTGCCATGAAAAGAAGGAAGGGGACAAGGTGATGGCATTACCGACGTGGAAGAGGGAGACGGCTCCTTTACGCAGGAGCTTAGAGAGGTGTTCTCTGAGAGGGTAACAGCAAGCTGAGCCCAGAGTGAGAAGGAACCAGTGCCAGGCTTGGGCTGTTCTGGGCAGTGGACGCCAAGAAGAGCAAAGGCAGGGAGGAGGCCAGTGGGGAAGAACGCAGGGGAGAGTGGTTGGGGGTAAGGGAGAAGAGGAAAGAGCCACACCCACCTTTGCTGGCCGTAGTGAAGACCTTGGATTTTATTTTAAAAACCAATGAGAAGGCAGTGGATGGCTTTAAGTCGGGAAGTGACATAATCTAATTACCTTTTTTTTTTTTTTTTTTTTTTTTTTTTTTAAGTAAAAGACAAGACTGCTGGAAGGTGGCAGACCACTTAGGAGGTCTCTGTATTGAGAAAGGGGATTAGAGATAAGGAAGCAGGTGGACTGGGAGGAGGGGAAGGGAGGGGGAAGGGGCCGCCAGGACCTCCTATTGGATTGGGTCTGGGAGAGGAGGCAGGAAGACGCCAGCAACAAGGCGAGCAGCCTTATTTGTTAAGACCAGGAAGGCTGTGCAAGGGTCATATCTGGGGGTGGGGTTCAGATCAAGAGCTTCCCCTTGCAAACACTGAGTTGGAGATGCCTGTTAGACATCCAGGGAGAGAAATCAACTAGCCTGTTGGCCAGGGGCTAGAGGTCACGGGGGAAGTCCAGGCTGGTGAAATCACAGAGAATATGCACACCTTTCACAGGGACAGATGACAGACACAAGGACCCGAGGGACACGGCTTCCCCTTTGCATCTGAGGCCGCCCTACCCTTGGTGACAGCCTGTGACTATGTTAAGAAAGGCAACCCCGTTTCTGCAGGTGCAGGGGACTGGTAGACAAAAAAAGGGGGGCCATAGGCAGGGAGGGGGCCCTAAGCTTCCTGTTCTGCTCCCCCTGCAGCCAGCACTGTCCTTCCAGGGCCCTCCTGCCCACAGGGCGCTGTCTAGGGTAGGTGCCCCGCAGCCCGCCTCCTGCCCATGGGGTGTAGAGCTCTAATGCGTGTGACTCACTGAAAGCTCATCAAGCGTGACCTGTCCACATGCTCCCCTTCACAAAACCCCTACCAGCAGTCTGCTTGTGCCTACAGACTTCCTGCACCCGCGCTGACCAGAAGGAAACGGGTGATAAAGGAGGACCTGCACAATGACCACTTGAGGACACACTGGGGCAAAGCGCCCTGGGACCCACAGCTCAGGAGGCTGGAGCGCGGATCAGATGCACACGCCAAGCTGTGTGGGCTAGAGGCTGACTTTACAGTAGGTTTCGCGCCCGGAGCTCAGACCTCGGGGTCAAGGACACCGGGTGTCAATGCCATTCTGAGTCCCTGTTACCATTAGCCTCTACGATGTTTCAGCAAATGTGAGTGACGCATCCAGGCAGAGTCTTCTGTTTTGTTTTGTGGTTCTCCCAGCTCACTGTCTACACAGCGGCAGCAAAAGTAAAGGCAAGGCCCGCCTGCCATGAGGTCTCGGCCTCCCTGCAGCACAGCC